AAGGTCGGGTCCCAACTTCAATAACTAACAATAGTTCATAACAACTTAAACAAGTAATACCAGAAGTAACTCAACAATAAAATGCTCAGCAAAAACATGATTTCTGAAAATAGTTCTGCCTTTCAAGTACATCAATGAAAACCCAAATCGTTTACCAGAGCTGCCAAAAATATGAATAAGTTTGAAAACAATAATTTTCCCAAAATCCTTTCAATAATAAATAAGATGTTTCATTTTTCTTTCCAAATAACCAGTGTAAAACAAATGCATCACTATGCCCTTCTGCCAACATGTGTGAGAATTCATGAATGATGTAATATCGTACAGCATGAGGAAAATACATCTTTATGCATGTATGTCATGTGTGCATGTCAATGAAATGTATCTCAGAGATGAACTCATATGCATACTCTCAGAGTATCCATTCACTCAGTCCTCCCCATCACTCAATCCTCACAGTCACTCAATCCTCCCAATCGCTCGGCACTCACATTCGACACTCGGCACTCGCACTCATTAGGTACCTGCGCTCACTAGGGATGTGTACAGACTCCGGAGGGGCTCCTTCAGCCCAAGCGCTATAATCTACACGGACAACTTACGTGCTATAGTATTAATATCTGTATCCGCACGGACAACTCACGTGCTATAGTATCAATATCTGTATCCGCACGGACAACTCACGTGCTATAATAAGCCAATATGGCATGCTGCGGCGTGCTGCCCGATCCCATAATAATAAAGTATATAAAGCCAATATGGCTTACTGCGGCGTACAGCCCGATCCCATAATTATCCTCACAATCACGCTCTCGACCTCACTCAGTCATCAATCTCTCTAGTCTCTCTCTCATGGGCTCACAATGTCATGAAAATAGCCCAAAAATGATGATATGTTGTATCAATAAATAACAACAGAGACTGAGATATGATATGTAATGACATGACTATGACTGAGTATGAATTTCAATTTAAAACAAATAATTCACAGCAATATGACCTCTGTGGGTCCCAATAATACTGGCACATAGCCTCAATATGATTTTTAATCAGATTCTCAGCTTAATTTCTTTAGCACATAAAACTACATAGAAAATGTCAAGATTATTTGACTACAAAATTCCACGGAAATAATTATGTCACAATTTCTATGGTGCACGCCCACACGCCCGTCACCTCCCAACAATTTACATAATACATATATTCAGGGTTCACACCCTCAGCTCCAAGATTAGAAGAGTTACTTACCTCGAACAAGACGAATCCAATTCCGAGCAAGATAAAAATGCTCCAGAAATTCCATTATGCACGTATCAACTCCTGAACAGCTCAAATCTAGTCACAATTAATTTGATTTAGTCCACACAATTATAAGAATTAATTCCATATCAAAATAATAATATTTTCCCACAAAATCCAAAATTGCACTCCGAAAATCGCCCGTGGGGCCCACATCTCGGAACCCGACAAAAGTTACAAAATATGAACGCCCATTCAACCACGAGTCCAACCATATAAATTTTACTCAAATCAGACATCAACTCGACCCTCAAATCTTCAAGTTAAACCAAGAGGATTTTCATAATTTTCCAACTTAATTCACCAATTAAATGTTAAAAACAACCATGGATTCCGGTAATTTGACCAATATTGAGTTAAGAACACTTACCCCATTATTTTTCTTGAAAATCTCCCGAAAATCCTCTCCCTCCGAGCTCCAAAACGGTAAAAATAGAAAATGGGATTTTCAGAACTTAAACTCTCTGCCGAGTCATTTCTTCTATGCAATCGCGGACCAAGTCCCGCGATCGCGAAGCACTACATTTCCACTGCCAAAATAACCCTATGCGATTGCGTACAAGGTTATGCGATCATGAAGACCAAAATACACTGCCCCAAAACTTCACTACGTGACCGCACCATAACACACGCGAACGCGAAGCACGAGCTTCCCAGGCCTACGCGATCGCGGACTCGCCCACGCGATCGAAAAGAACCAATGAGTGACCTCCACTCCTGCTCCATTTCCTCTACGCAAACGCGACCTTCTTCATGCATTCGTGAATAACAGACTCCCACAGCTACGCGATCGCGGCCCTCTTCACGCGATAGCGAATAACAAAATCGTCACTGCCTCAACAAGCCTACGCGATCGCGGTTGCCTTCACGCGATCGCATAGAACAATTTCACCTCTACCCAAACAAGCCTATGCGATCGCGGACCTTCTCATGCGATCATATAGAAGGAAACCAGTGACAGAATTACACAAAGATTCACCCGAGGCCCCCGAGACCTCAACCAAATACACTAACAAGTACTAAAACATCATACGAACTTAGTCGTATCTTCAAATCACATCCAACAACACTAAAACACGAATCACACATAGATTCAAGCCTAATGAACTTTGAAATTTCAAATTTCAACAAACGACTCCGGAACCTATCAAATCAAGTCCGATTGACCTCAAATTTTGCACACAAGTCATAAATGACATAACGGACCTATCAAAATTTTCAGAACTAGATTTTGACCCTGATATCAAAAAGTCAATCCCCCAGTCAAACTTTTCAAAAATTTGACTTTTGCCATTTCAAGCCTAATTCCACTACGGACCTCCAAATAATTTTCCGGACACGCTCCTAAGTCCAAAATATCATACGGAGCTATTGGAATTATCAGAATTCAATTCCTAGGTCGTTTACATATAAGTGAATATTCGATCAACTTTTCCAACTTAAGTTTTTAATTATGAGACTAAGTGTCTCATTTCACTCCGAAATCCTTCCGGACCCGAACCAACTAACCCAATAAGTCATAAATTAACTGTAAGGCATAAAATAAGCAGTAAATAGGGGAACGGGGTTTTAATACTTAAAACGATCGGCCGAGTCCTTACATATACGTTATACACGAAAGTATATTACATTCTCTCCTCACAAGTGGTTCAGGGTCAGGAACCAAATAATTTCATCTTATTATTATTGATGTACGGTATATATTTTGATTAATACCATAATACACAAAGATGATTTCCCAAAGTTGAGGAATCAAGTTAGTTTTTCTAACATGAGGGGGAGACAGGATAAACAGTTGAGAAAAAATTACGTGGAATGAATTATCATTTTTACATCTAGATCCTCGAATAAGATAATATGAACTTGAAATTCATAAAAAGATAATTCATCTGCAATATATTGCAAAGCATGCAAGACGCATTTACTGACCCAAAGAAAGTAACTATATTCTCACTGCAAATACTCATATTAGAATAAGTCCTAGAAGGACAAAGTCTATGGTACACTTAAAGCGAATAGACAAATCAGTTTCAAATAAACTTCTTGATAAAGAAGATGAGCAAATGATCAAAATGATCATTATAAAGGAGGCAAGTGATCTAGAAGATCATATGACAACACACTTCATAAATTCTCAGGAGAGGTTCAGGTACCTGAAAATATAAATGACGAAATCTCTATATTATGTCTTTATGAAAAAATATTGGAACCGATATAAAATGTTCGTCGACTACATCTATCATAGCACTAAGTATAGATGAGGACCTCAAGTCTGTCAAATACAGACACAAAAATATTGGCCAAATAGAAGAGACACAATTCAAATAGAATTAGTTTCATATGAAAGACATGTAGTTTTGGACATATAGTTCAAATACTTGAAAGTATAAAGTCAATGGTGTGTGAAATCACTTTATCTATCTTATATGTCTAGCATGACATAAAAACTTGATATGTATCTAAAGTCCATTCATATCACTTATTTGACTATACTTATATGATAATCCCTGAAGGATTTCAATTGCTTGAAGCATATTCAATTCTTTATCTTGAAGTACCACATCCTCAGTGCAATTTATGCACAAATGTATCTTGCTATAACTATAAGCATGATAATGTGATAGCGAGAATTGTTTTGCCACTATGGAGGTATTGAAAAAGTCATTCCACGACATTATATGAAGATATTATATATCTATCAAGAATGATGATTTCAAGATGCAATATATTCATTCAAGTTAATATGGATGATTTGTTTATCAAATCTCTGCCAACGACCTTTTGAAGATGGTGCACAAGATTGGAATGCGAAGGCTCAAGGATGTGAATTGATAATCTCATCAGGGGGAGTTAATATGCGTTGTACTCTTTTTCCCTTATAAGGTTTTATACCACTGAGTTTTTCTTGTAAGGTTTTTAACGAGGTAACCAAAAGACGTATTGTTAGATATGTGTACTCTTTTTCCTACACTAGAATATTTTTCCACTGGGTTATATTTTAGTTTAGGTTTTAACGAAGCACATTATCTATTGAATAGACATTCAAGGGGGAGTGTTATAAATATTATTTTATTTATGGTGAATGTCTATATATTAGAGAGATTTTAGGGTTGTTACTTGGTGGCTAAGTCACTTTTCCCCTATAAATAGAGGGGTTCTATTTTATTGTAATTCACTCCAAATTAATAAGAATTCTCTCTCCCTACTTTTCTCTACAATACTCTTCTTCTTTTATTGTTTCATAACAAGTATCAATTATTGAATTGTTATATAGTAGCTACTCTTGACCGGTAACAAAAATTAATGGTAATAAGCAACATGCTATAACAAACAACTTTACCGGAAGTTGAAGGAAAACTTGCTCGAATTCCAAGCGACGACTTGGGCGGATGTTCACAACCGGTACGAGTCAAAGATAAGGATTGAGGATAATCATCTCGGCTTTCCGGCGTCGGCTAAAGGTCGAGTGAAGAATAAAGAAAAATCAAAAGACGATTTCTACATAGACAGATGGTCTTCGAGGGGCCATTTTTTGCCCTACGAACGGGCATAAGGACGCGACAGAGGTTTTCGGTCGGCGGACAAGTTTGTTACCGACAGAAGAACTGATCGCGACCAAAACTATGGATCGCTACGGGACAACCTATCTAAGACTTTTAGAATACAACTTCAATGTCAGTGTAGTAGAGTTGATATCGGCTATGAGGAACATTAAAAATGCACGGTTCCCGAAGCCGATGAGGTCCGATCCCAGCCAGAGGGATCATAATCTGTGGTGCGAATACGACAGGACGAACGGCCACCGAACTGGGGACTGTAGATATCTGCATGAAGAGGTGGTGACACTACTGAAAAATGGCCATCTCAGGGAATTCTTAAGTGACCTGGCCAAAAATAATTATGGCCGTAACCGTGATAACACGGAGCCCTCAAATTTAGGGTAAGACCCTCTGCACCAGACGATCAACATGATTTTCGGGGGGAATGAGATTAACGGGGTTATCTTCACGGCAGCAAAAAAGACAAAGGTAACAGTAACTCACGGCAAGAGGCTCCGGGAAGTCGTTGAGGACGACATCACTTTCACGAGGAAGACGCAGACAGATTATTGTTACCACACAACGACGCATTGGTATTTTCTTTAAATGTATTAGATTTTAAAATCAAACGTGTTCTGGTGGATCCAGGAAGGTTGGACAATATCATACAATGGAGGGTATTGGAGCAAGCCAAACTTACCAGAAGCATCATTCCAGCCACAAAACTCCTCGTCGGGTTCAACCTCGCAAGCGTGACAACCCGATGAGAGATCATGCTGCCCAAAAATGTCGAGGGGGTGATGAAGACGACCCTTTTCGAGGTTGTGGATGGTGATATGGGTTACAACATTATTCTAGGAAGACCATGGTTGCACGAGATGAAAGTCGTACCATCAACATATCATCAGTTGCTGAAATTCCCAACTCCTGAGGGGATTAAACAGATAAAAGGTGACCAACCGGCGGCAAGGGAGATGAATGCGATTTCGGTCTCCAGTACCAAAGGGAAGGAGCATGTGGCATAGCAATCACAGAAACCGATGCCTGCTCCCGAATCAAGTGAAGCTAACCAGGGGCAAGAGGCGTCAGAATCTTATCAGGTGCCAAGATATTTCCAGGTACTAGAAGAGACGGACGCAACAAAATCCACAGCTGAAAAGCTTGAGCAAGTCGTATTATTTAAAAAATTCTTAGAGTAAATTCCATTTGGGCACAGGATTGCACCCCGAGCTCAGGTCTGAATTTATTGAACTTCTTAAATTTAATGCTGATTGTTTTGCGTGGTCGCATGCAGACATGACAAGTATCCTGACGGAAGTGGCCGTACACAAGTTAATCTTGGATCCCAGCATTCCTCCGGTAAGACAAAAGAAACACCCTATTGCAGAGGCCAAAAAAAATTCGTCAAAGAAGAAGTAACTCGCCTACTTGATATCGGTTCGATCCGAGAGGTAAAGTATCCAGACTGGCTAGCTAACGTAGTAGTAGTTCCTAAGAAGAATAATAAATTTCGCATGTGCGTATACTATAAGGACTTGAATAAGGCGTACCCAAAGGACTCGTTCCCACTGCCAGACATCGATCAAATGATTGATGCAACGGCCGGGCAAGAGTTAATGAGTTTTCTCGATGCTTATTTCGGGTACAATCAAATTAAGATGAACCTGGAGGATCAGGAAATACTTCGTTCATAACGGATTTCGGCACATATTGCTATAATGTGATGCCCTTGGGTCTAAAGAATACTGGAGTCACTTATCAGCGGCTCATAAACAAGATGTTGAAAAACAGATAGGGAAAACCATGGAAGTTTATATAGACGATATGCTTGTTAAGTCTTTGAATGCAGGTGATCATCTTAAGCATTTGCAAGAAACGTTTGACATCCTAAGGAAGTATAACATGAAGCTTAACCCCGAGAAGTGTGCGTTTAGGGTCAGCTCCGGCAAGTTTCTAGGATTTTTGGTGTCATAAAGGGGGATTAAGGTAAACCCCGATAAGATCAAAGCCATAGAAGACATCCCGGACCAGCTATCAAGAGTAAAAGAGGTTCAAAGGCTCACAGATAGATTAGCCGCTTTGAGCAGGTTCAGAGAAATACCACCATTTCTCGCGCTGCTAAAAAAGAAAAACAACTCTGAATGGACCCCGAAATGCCAGCAGGCTTTGAGGGATTTGAAAGGGTACTTGTCAAGCCATGTGTTATTATCAAAGTCGGAGGAAGGTGAAAAATTATTAATCTACCTAGCAGTCTCGGAGGTAGCGCTACGCGTCTTTTTAGTCCGTGAGGATGAAGGTACGCAATCTCCCATTTATTACGTTAGTAGAATTTTAACGGTAGCAGAAACTCGCTACCCGCATTTGGAGAAGCTGGCCTTAGCTCTCGTAGTTCCGCTCAGAAGCTGAGGCCTTACTTCTAATGTTACCCAATAGCTGTGGTGACCACCTTTCCCCTGTGGAATATCCTTCATAAACCTGAACTTTCGGGTAGGTTGGCCAAATTGGTCGTCGAAATGAGTGAATTTGAACCGACTTTGTGGCCGATTTCAGTCCGGGATTGCTGCCTCTGGCAACCAAAGAAGCAGTGATGGTGTCAGAATTGACATCGAGTGTTTGGATCTTATTTACGGACGGAGCTTCCAATATAAAGGGGTCCGGGCTTGGCATAGTGTTAACCACGCCTTTGGGAGAAACCCTAAGGCAGGCCATAAGAACGGTCCCTTTGACTAACAACAAAGCCGAGTATTAAGCTTTAATTGCATGACTCGAATTGGCCTGGGGACTAGATTCCGAGGTCAAATAAATCAAATGCGGCTCCCAGTTGGTAGTAAACCAGGTCTATGGGATCTTCGAAACCAAAGAGGAGCGCATATAATAATACGTAGTGAAGGTTCAGGTTCTGCTTGCTCGATTCCGGGAGTGGTCAATTACGCATGTCCCGATAGAAGAAAATGCAGACACGTGGTAAAAGTAAAACTGTAAAGGGTAAAATATGCTATGTTAAGTGATTGCATAAGGGAGTGACACGTAGAGCCGAAGTGTGATGACCCAAAAGGTCATCATATGTTTTAGAACTCGAATCTGCGCTCTCAAGCCTTAAAACCTCATTTTTACCCTTCTCAATTTGCGTGCACAGTCCGGGCAGGTTTTCGGAAAGCTTTTATGTTGAAAACTAATGAAAATAAGAATTTTTGCCTTAAAAGTTGATTTTAGTTGACTTCGGTCAACTTTTTGATAAACGGGCCTGGATCCATATTTTGACAGTTCCGGTAGGTCCGTATCAAATATGGGACCTGGGCGTATGCCCGGAATCGAATTCGGAGGTCCCTAGCTCAAGTTATGAATTTTTGATGAAAATTAAAAGTCTAAAAATTAATTATTTTTAAGAATTGACTGATGTTTGGCATTGTTATTACCGGGTCGGTGTTTTGGTTTCGGAGCCCGGTACAGGTTCATAATGATATTTAAGACCTGTCTGTGAAATTTGGTGAGAAACGGAGTTGATTTGACGTGATTCGGACGTCCAGTTGAGAAAATAGAAATTTTAAGTGTTCTTGAGAATTTCATTTGATTTGGTGCTAAATTCGTAGTTCTAGGTGTTATTTTGGCAATTTGATCATGCGAGCAAGTTCTTATGATATTTTTAGACTTGTGTGCATGTTTGGTTTGGAGCCCCGAGGGCTCGAGTTAGTTTTGGGTAGGCCACGGGATGTTTTGGACTTTGGAAATCTAGTTTTTCGGCAGAGTGTGTGTTTTGGCATGTTCTTCCTTGCATTCGCGAAAGTACTCTCGCGAACACGAAGAGTAAACTGGGCAGCTAAAGTCTTCTTCTTCGCGAACGCGAAGGCCTGGTCTCGAATGCGAAGTGATGAGGGACTTACCCTTCGCGAACATGACAGGCTCAACGCGAACGCGAAGCATGTGGGGANGTAATCATCGCGAATGCGAGATGGGTCTCGCGAACGCGAAGGTTTGGCATCCAGTACCCTTCGCGAACGCGATAGTGCTCTCGGGAACGCGATGACATTGTCGCCCAGCACTTAACAGAATCCAAAAACGGGATTTTTTCCAAAAACTCATTTTTCTCAAAAACCAAACGGTGAGGGTCAATTTTTCAAGAGTCATTCCTTCCCCAAATTGTTGGTAAGTGATTCTAAACCATTTTCTTTCAATTACCCATTACATTTCTTGAATTTTTAACCTAAAATCTAGAGTATTAATGGTAGAATTAGGGGTTAGGGTAGAAACTAGGAATTTCGGGAATTTGGGGATTTAGACCTCAATTTGAGGTTGGATTCCAAAACTAATTACTTATTCGGTCTCGGGGGTGAATGGGTAAAAGGATTTTGGTCCGAACCTTGGGTTTTGACCGAGCGGGCCCGGGGTTGATTTTTCGACTTTTTGGAGGAAAAATTTAGGAAATTTAATTTATGAAATATAATTGATTCCTTTAGCAATATTTGATATTATTGAGTCATTTTTGAATAGATACGAGTGGTTTGGAGGTGAATTCCAAAGAAAAAGTTGTGATTGAGAATTAAGTGGCCTTCGGAGTGAGGTAAGTGTTGTGTCTAACCCTGACTTGAGGGAATTAGGAACCTTAGATTACTTGCTAAGTGAAATCCATGTGAGTGGCGTATATGTGAGGTGACGAGTACTTATGCGCCGCCAAATTTACCTGTTTTTTCATGTTTCTCTGTTTTTCTTACGCTGTCTTTTTCCTATGTCAAATTGCTACGTGTTATGCTAGTATTGTTCAATTTATCATTTTTATCATGTTTACGAATTTTCTAGTGATAATTGAGTTTTTTTATTTCAAAGTTGATATTGATAGTATGGAACCAAATATTGAAGTAAGGTTTGTACTTGTTATTCTATTTCCCTGTTGTTATTTATGTATTGCATTATGGTAAGGGAGAGTGTTATTACATGAAGGGTGATGCCGTGCCATATTGTGAGTGTTAATGCATGAAGGGTGATGTCGTGCCATATTGTGAGTGTAAATGCACGAAGGGTGATGCCGTGCCATATTGTGAGTGTTAATACACGAAGTGTGATGTCGTGCCATGATATGAGAGTAAAAGCATGAAGGGTGTTGCCGTACCGTTTCTATAAATTTTATGATGAGATTGAGAGTAAAAGCACGAAGGGTGATGTCGTGCATTTTTCCTTACTGTATTCACTATTCCTGTTGATTCATGGTATATTGACTACTCCGGTGATCATTCTGTTGTAGTTCTTTATCTTGTATTCCCCTCGGTATGTTTCCCCTCTCGACATTTCCTATTTAGTTCTTCATTTCTGTTATTTGCACATACACTGTTAAATTTTACAAGTTGATTTGTAGGTGCCTTGCCTTAGCCTCGTCACTACTTCATCGAGGTTAGGCTCGACACTTACCAGTACATGGGGTGGTCAGTTGTACTGATACTACACTCTGCACTTTCTGTGCAAATTTTGATACCGACTCAGGTTGATCGAGATTTGCTACTGGTCCGCTGTCCGGAGACTCAAGGTAGATCCGTCGGCGTTCACAGACCTTGAAGTCTCCATCTATCTTTTATATCCTATTGTTCTCTTTCATTCAGACAGTTGTATTTCTTTCAGACTATTACTTGTAGTAAATTCTAGAATACTCGTGAATTGTGACTCCAGATCTAGGTGGTAGTAACTAATACAGTTTTATGATATTTTGCGCTTATTATTTATCATTTTTGTTAATTATTGTTATTTACTGAATGGAAATAAGGAATTTGTTTAATGATTCTCTAACATTGGCTTGCCTGACAAGTGAAATGTTAGGCGCCATCACGATTCCGTCAGTGGAAAATTTTG